TTTTACAAAAGCTGCCTTCCTTTGTGGGTGCTGTCCTGTCTGATGCCTGCAGTGACCAAAACTGGCCTGCTGCTTACTGCTGTAAACTCTGCAGAGTAACTGAAGAGTGAGTGCTGGCTGTCTCCCCTTACACACGACCAGTAAACCCAAATTTCCTTGGGAGTTACTGTTCTGTATCTCCTGCAGAGATTCTGCATCTTTCTGCTGAAGGACTTCTGCTTGTTCTGCTTCTAACATGGGTCTTTTAAAGCTAAGGTGGTATTTATGTTTAATTCAAGGTGAGGGGGAGGGTGACTGAGAGTCCCTTTGCTTAAAATTAAGTTTCAGGCTATGGACCCTGTTACAGTTGGTGAGAAAATTCCAATCTCTGTGTTTCTTCCTGAAATGGGGCCAAGACTCTACGCAGACATTAATGGAGACAGCATTTGAAAGCTCTCTATCTGCTAAGTGCAATGTGGTTTATGCCTCTGGTGGGTGACATCTGATGTGTAATCATCCTGGTGCTGAGAAGGGAGACCTCTGAACAAAATGAGGCTAGTAGGGTCTGCTTGATACTCATTTTCTTTGTAAGAGTTTAGCCCAATTCTTCGATTTGCATCCAAATACTATGCAAAATCTCTGTTGAGATGTCCTAGGGGTTTACTAGGGATTGGTTCTGCATGCAGTCTAATGCTTACTTTCAAATCCAGATAAAGTTTCCTTATTGCAAAAAGAGGAGGTGAAATAGTGATAGGAGGAAATTTTCAGTCATTTAGCTATTTTTCAGACATTGAAGGTGCTGAAGAGCAGATAAAAGAAGGCTCAATGCTTGACTGCTTGTTGAACAACCCACAATACTGGTGGTTACATTTCTACAATGCTTAGTTTTGGGGAAAAAAAAAATCAGGTAAATTGTTATGAAATTATCAACTCTCTTCATGAAAAATATTGCAGGTATCAAATTTTCTTTCTGAAATGAAATGATGAGCTGCTCATAAATATCAGAAAGTGTAGGTCTGTACATTCTTTGCAACAAATGGGAGCTGTACTTCCTTTTCAAGAAGAATCTTACCCCTCACTTTAAAAGTGTAAGTTCTTGAGAGCCCAGCACGGCCCTTCCCTTCCTGTGTGCTTGAATACCATGAAGGGCAATGCAAGCATGCTTAAAAACCAGTTTGCATGGTCACTGGATGATGTGCTTAATGCATTTTCTGCTGAAGGGATGTGTGCACAACAAAACCTTTCTGTAGCTCTCGGAATGGAAAGCCTTTTGGACCTGCTGTTAACCTGGGTCGTACCCACTAGTGTCTGGTGCCACTCCGTATCCATATCCCTGGCACTACCTCCTCCTATTGCAAGGCTAAATGTCACATTCTGTGGTAGGCTAAATTAAGGCTGAGTGTAGACAGAGAAATATCTTCTGAAAGTAGATTTTTGTTGTTGATATTCCTGCACCCAACAACGGGAATTTATTTTTGCCTAAGCTTTGCCAAAGTCTTTGACTTGGAAGAAAACTGAAGCCTCCCAAATGTTTAGGAAGGATTAAAAACCATTTGGGGCTATAATATTTTACAGCTATTCTTTCTGGAGTATGCTGAGTTGTGCCATCCCATTTCTCAAGCTGCTGTTCCTGCTACTGCAAAACTCAGCCTCAAGTCCTCTGCCAAAACCTCTTACCTGTGAAAGCATGGAGAGACCGAGCTTTTCGGCTTGCACGTACAGAATAAGGCTAGAGAGGTAAGCACGAGGGTGTTTTTATTTGTAGCTACAATGCCCTGCCCATTTCCAAATGGCGTTAGAGCAGTTACACACCTCTTGCTGGAGCAGAGTTGCAGGTGGCATTTGCCACAGGTTGCAGGGTTAATGAAACAGAGACTAACAATTTATGATGAAAATATGATGTAAATTTGTATAACAATTTATGATGTAAATATGTATAACAAGCCACACACTATCTAACATCTCAAAGACATGTACCAAAGCCAAATTTTTAGACTATAAGAAGACAGAACAGATTCTTGCATATACAAAAATCACCGGTCACATTGTTGCAAAATTAATGTTAATGTAGAAGTACATGTTGAAATTGAACAATCCACCTAGAATCAGCATGACAGAAAGGAAAGGATGACTGAAAAATGCTGGGTGTTCGTTGTAATCTGAAAATAACAAAGTACCCTTTAAAAATGCGTGCTTGGGAATAAATAATCGATGTGGTGTATTCATTAGCAATAAGTGCATCTGTTGCTTTGATTTCATCCACTAATATAAGCTCAGTGAAAGCCTCACTTCATGGGTGTGGCTTCTGTATTTGAAAATATTTTGAGTTATTCAGGTTATTAGCACAGCTGTGGCTTAGGGAGAAAAAAAGAACTATCAGGGTGTGTAGCGATGTGTGAGTACGGGAAGGCTTTTGGTAAGACCACAAGGAAAAAAATAAACCCTGAAAGGAAAAAGCCAGCTTACAGTCACCTGTGACAAGTCAAAATTATCTGTTTGAAGCAGGGCCTCTTGCAGTGATGTGCACAGGATGCTCGGTGGTGGGGCGGGGGTGGAGATGGAAACCAGTCTGAAGGATGGATAGCACTGTGCTGTGCCAGCCCTCTGCCTCCGAGAGCAGGCGAAGGGCTTCCGTGTTGGGTGGTAAACCCAAAGGTTTCAGACCTTTGAACGGGAATGACCTTGGATGTACTCGAGTCCGTTTGGCAAGCTCGGGAGGAAGCAGAGATGCAGGGACTTGCATCGCCCTCAGGGGCTGTCTAGATGGCCGGTGTGGGTTGCTGGGGGAATCTGCTGAGGTCGTGGAGGTTTTATGGCAATAATTTCTCCGTACTGCTCTCTCTTAAATGCAATACTCACTTTCAAGGTGTTGATGCTCTTGGTCTCAATGGTCTGGGTCTGGGGCTAGATGTTTTTACTTCCAGGGGAGAATTACAGGCAAATACAGCATCCCTGCTCCTAAGCAGCTGCAAGGGGTCACTGTGCTGAGCTCCTTAGCGTTTCGCTTACTCCTGAACATGATGCATCTATGTATGTACAAGGAAAGATCTAACAGGCAATTTGAAATGGATCCCACTCAAGCAGTGATCAAAAAAAAGCTTAACTTTTTCTCCCACATTACTCCTTCACCCAGATGTCTGCATTTCCCAGTTCTGGCTTGGCTAATGGCAGGTAATTAAAGAAGGTTTTGATGGCTACCTTGGCAGCGGTGTGGATGTACATCAGTGAGAAGCTCATCTGAAAGATGGCATTTCCCTGCAGTTTGATGGGATTGGAAAAGTAATTCTCCACAGAATGTTGCAATTTCACATTTTCCTTACCATTTCGGATGATGAATATTGTCAAAATATTGGTACTATGCTCAGAGTTAATGAGGGAGAAGGTTGTTTGTGTTTGTTTGTTTTAAATTCTTCCTCCAGCTGTACTTCTGAGGCTTTCCAGCACTTTTCTGTTTGTGAAAGATACCATCTGTCACTTCAGTTCCCAAAGATGGTCCAGGAGGAACATCCTGTAAAAGGTCCCCAGGCAGTTTTCCTGATGGGGTCACTGGGACACTTTTGGGTAAAAATACACTGTACTGCTGGGTGCGCAGGGTTTCAGCTGGTATAAATGGATCCAGCTGCATGGCTCACAGCCTAGACTGACCGGTCCTTTTAGCTTCACAAGTACTCAGATAGCTATTTATCTAAAAAGAGCTGGAATCGCCCTAACTTTTGTCCTAATGCATGCAAACTGGTGTATTTCCAGAGGCGAGGGCTTTATCCAGCTCAGTGCTGCTTATTCCAAGAGTTGGTTTTGCGCTGCGTATTAGGAGGAAAATATTTGTTGGTGCAATAACTTTGTAAGGTAATAATTTAAAATACTCAGTTTCTGCAGCTTGAGCTGTAATTTCTATACTTTGAAACATGTCCAATATATGCATTTTAAATTTTAGTAGAGCTTTAAGTCTTAGCTGCAGCTCTTCATATTCTGTTTGGGTTTCATAAGCAATTTGCATTTCATAATCACTCTAAGTGAAGTGAGACTTTTAAGGTACAGTGTAATCCAAACCAGAGACAATCTGTAAGTCAGTAGTTTTTCTACTGGAAAAAACCCTGTTTGCTTCTCCCCTTTCACGTGTAGATTGTTTCTTGGAACTGTTCTGCAGCAAGCTGCTCTGAATCTCTTGTTTTGTTGTTGTTGGGTTTGGGATTTTTGTTTGGTTCTATTTTGGCAGAAAGCCTTTAGTGTCGGATTTTGGGGGGGTTTTGGGGGTTTTTTTAATAGTTTTTTTCTAGAGGCATATGTGGTTTTTATTTTTTTCTTCCAAAACTCCCATAAAACCCCCAGCATTTGATCAGGAAGACTCTTTGAGAAATGGAGAAATGGCTTATTGTTGAAATGAACCTCTAGAGGAAGCAGGCAGGCAAGTTTTCACTAGAAACAAAGCTGCAAACCGAGGGACAAAGCGATGCTTGAACATGTCCAGAGAAGGGCAACAAAGCTGGTGAAGGCTCTGGAGAACAAGTCTGATGAGGAGTGACTGAGGGAGCTGGGGTTGTTTAGCCTGGAGGAGGCTGAGGGTAGACCTGATGGCTCTCTACAGCTCCCTAAAAGGAGGTTGCAGGGAGGTGGGTGTTGGTCTGTTCTCCCGAGTAACTGGTGACAGGACAAGAGGAAATGGCCTCAAATTTCGTCAGGGGAGATTTAGATTAGATTAGATAGTAGGAAAAACTTCTTCACTAAGAGTGTGGTCACGCATTGGAACAGGCTGCTCAGGGAAGTGGTGGAGTCACCATCCCTGGAGCGCTTCAAGGAGCGTGTAGAGGTGGCGCTTGAGGACATGGTCTAGTGGTTGGGTTGATGGTTGGACCGGATGATCTTATAGGTCTTTTCCAACCTCAGTGATTCTGTGATTCTGTTATTTAGCAAAACTCGACTCACACTCCCCAAACGCAGTAAGCAGACCACGTGTGCTCCCCCCAGCCGGTGCATTAGCCCAACAGCCCGGGTCAGGTGCTGTAGCAAGCCACCAGTACAGCTCAGTTAGCTTCTGGGGTGTCTTCTGGAGGTGGGCGCGGGCTCTCGGCTGCTGTGGGGCCGGTGTCACCCGGCCCCCGCGGCAGCGCACGGCAGGACCGGGACGAGGACTTGTTGCTGGAGTTGGCGGCTGCTTTGTTGCATCTCAGAAGCGCCAAGAAGCACCTGTAAAACTGTCACACACAGACAGAGAACAGCAAGTTAGCAGGAATTTTGTTCATGTTTTTTATAGGACAGGCTTCATCTAATGGTCTTTATATTCATTTAGATTCCTGGCATGGTCCTGAAAAAACCAACATGGATGTAATAATATTTTGTATTAGAAGTTGAATTGTTTTATAGAAAAATTAAGTCCCAGCATTACATGAGAGCTCTGGCCGAGGTCAGGGTCTCTATAAGCTAATGTGGGATGGGCTCCTGGGAAGCAGGAGCTGGGAAGAAAGTGGTGCCTGCCTTTTTCCTTCATCTGGGCACGCCAGAGGGAGAAGAACAAAACCAAGGAAAATAAAAGCAGTCATTTTGGCCAAAGTTTCATGAACAAGGTAATGTTAGTGCCACTGCAGTATTTCAGCACTGCAGGGGGCAGGTGAAGGGGTAAAATCCAGACGGGGCATTTTGCCTGCTTGCAGGTTGGGTGCTGTGTTTAGTTCGGGGCAGTTGCAGGGTGGATCTTTTTTTGGGGGTGGCTTTTTTTTTTTGTTCTGCTTTAATCAATCTACATTTTCGTTGTTCCTTAACTAAAAAGCAGGAGGGAGGGGAGAGAGCCAGAAATGAGATTCTTTCAGGCAGGCCTGTAACAGTCAACCTGTGTTTTTATTTAATACAAATATTAATGACCATATAGTAATACAGAGACTAGAAAGGATAAAATGCTTTTCAGCCTATTTTCAGGTATGTAGGAGCCTGTTATCTGGCTGAGCTGACTGCGTGCTCGGAGGCAAACACCGCGGGTCTGCTGCGGCGTGGAGATTTCGGAGAGTGCTGCTGATCACTCGTGCTACCCAGCCATCAGCTTATTGATATATCCTGTACTAAAAGCTCGGTGGGGTGGGTGAGCTAATTGAATCACCAGTGCAAGGGATGTTGGCTGGTTTGATTTGTATTTGACCAGGGAGAAGATGAAAAGTTGTGTGATGTGTTTGTTTTAAGCTCTCAGATGAGGTTGGTTCAACATCCATTATTTGATCGATTTTCTCAGTCGCATGGCAAAGCGTGCAGCGCGTCTGTGCGGAGGGAGGCTGCTGCGTGAATGTAAGGAACCTGCCTGCAGCAGAAATACGTGGTTTAGATCCTACAGATTGTCTGAAGGCCCTCCTTACAGTGGCACAGTCAACTCCAGACAGCTGATCCCTCTAGCACGAAGCGAGTCCAGATCAATTTTAATAGTAATCCTGTACAACACGGCTGATGGCAGCAAGCTCTGACCAAGCCTTCTGGAAGCAGACTTGCCTGCTGGGGGGAACAGCTTTTGAGAAGTTTCGCACAATTTTTGTGTCGTCTGAAATTCCTTTTTTAAATGAGAAATTTCTCAGAAATTACAGGCCTTCTTTGTACAAAAAAAATAATGATCATTCTTTTTCCTCAGCCTCTCACCACTGAGCACTGAAATATTTAACAGCTTGAAAACTTGCAGGGGATGCTGTCTTTTTTTCTGGGTTTGCTTTCTCCCTCTCCCCTCGTGGCCAAGTTTGCGTGGGTGAGTGAGTCTCTTATCAACCATCTTTCTGCGGTTGCTTAATCCCCAGGAAATTTCTGTTACCACTTGAGTCTCCTTTATCTGTGTAACCTTCACCTAGCCCTTGCCGGGAGGCACTCCCTCGATGTGAACATCGTTTCATCCGTCCCCTTCTCTGATTTTTATCCAGTCTGATCAGAGATTTCTGAACATTTACCAAAGCCAGGGAGGGGCAGAAGCCAGAATGTAGAATTGTTTTAGAAATACCATGAAATTAGAGGGAAACAACAGCTTCATGAGTTAACAAGATATCCCCTATAGATTTCCATAGCATCAGGAATGCTGTCGGTGTTGAACAGAGTTATCTGAACAACCACCACCTCCTGTTTGCTCTGTAAATCCGTCCTGGCACCCCTGTTTTTGCCCCCAGCCCCTGGGAGGGTGGGTGCAGCCATGCATGGCAGAGGGAGAGAAATGCAGGATTTGAAGCAACCTGTGCTGTTCCCTGCTCCAGGGTCAGCTCCTCCGGCAGTTTTTGGGCAGATCCTCGCTGCTCATGGTTCCCACCAGCTGTTGGGAGGGGCAAAGTGTTACAGGAGGGTGACTGAAGGATGTGCAAGGGGATTACAGGAGCGCATTGGGGAAGAGAAAGTTGATGTTGCAAGGAAGAGGAGTTACTGTGGGCAGTGCACGGTGCTGGGGCACCGGGGCATGGCACTGGGTAGCAAAAGCTCACGTCCCTACAACACTTCATATCGGAATCATCTCCAGGCAGTATCTGATGGCTCCATACTTACCAGAACATTGATTCTTTTTGTTTCTCTCCTCCATGTTCAACTTGCTGTTAATCAAGTTGTGTAATGGAAAGGAAGGACCCATCATTTGCTATTTGGACATGTGGGATGTCAGTTATCCAACTTCCAAAAGTCTGAATTTGTCAATTAAATTTGCTCCTCGTAGTCCTTTTTCTGTGCTTCCCTCTCAGAAGGTTTTTCAGTGCTGTCACCAATGCATTCTTTATTTCCCCTTCTTATTTCTTTAATTCTTGCATACATTGAATCTGAGTAAACATATGGTTGACATTTTGCTTACCTGTTTGTTCAGAAATATGTAGATGATGGGGTTGTAGACGGTGCTGCTTTTGGCAAGGATGGATGGGATGACGCTGGCCGCAGGGGTGATGAGACCGGGTTTCCCAAAGGTAGCTATAAGCGCCACGGTTGCATATGGCAGCCAGCAAAGGAGAAAGCAAATTACCATCACCACCACCATGATCAGGATGCGCTGCTCTCGGGTCCGACCCATCCCTTTATTGATGCCGCTCACCTGGGTGGGAGAGAGGCACAAGTAGATGATTAGCAGTGCTCATACTGGGAGAAGATGATGATGCATGGGAGCTTCTGGAGTGGCTGCATGAGGGGCAGGGTTGGCAGTGCCACCTGAAAAGTTGTTGGCTGGAGAAGAGCTGGCCAAAGTGGGCAGGGTTTGTATGTTCTGCACCCAGCGTGTGTACCTAACAGTCGGAATAGGGTTAGCGATAGCACTGTTCATCTGGAATAGCCTTCTCCAGCTTTCTCTAAATCACAGCATGTAATGTGAGTATCTTAGGCAGGAGGGAAGAAGGGGGCAACTGCCCTGGAGGACAGCTGGACACGGTGCTCCCAGTAGGACTGCGTGTCTGAGTCCTACCAGTAGCGATGCACCCAACCAAGGATGAAGTGCTCCGCACCCGGAGGCCACCGAGGCAGGTCAGGAGACAGAGAGGATCATAAAGAACAAGGGTTTGAGAGAGCTTTCTCCACTGGATTCACTGGAAAAGTCAGCAGCTGAATTCAATTGGTTTACAACAGGCTCCTCCTCTCGATTTGGGGCTCACACATACACGTAAGTAAATCATCCTGTATATAAACACTGGTATCTTCTGCCTCACCCTTTTTTCTTAGTTTTCAGTGTGCCTTGAAAATTGGACCTTTCGGTGATTGTTGTGTAATGCCTACACTGCAAAGTGCTGCAGTAAGCACGAGAAACTAACTACTGCAAGCAGTTTTATGGGGAATCCAGCAGGATATGTTTGTGTGCTGGAAGTCACCTTGAGACTAATCAAAAAACCAAACCAAAACTGTTCACGAAGTAGAATATATCTGTAAATGCCTGCTGAGGGAACTCTAATGCCGAGTACTTTATACATATCCTGTTAAGGTGCAAAGGAAATCTTGTATGACACTTGTCTGTGATTTAAAAGGAAATTGGTATTTGCCAATAGGCAAAAAAAGTTGTTAATCAAAACATTTCCATTAGTGAGAGGTGGATATTTCACTCAGAGACACCCACAGGCATCAGTAGCTCAGACTTCTTCACAGACACCTCAGACAGAAAGTTCACATTTATCTTCTCATGGAGTTGACATGAATTCTGTATGACATTTTCCCTGTGTTCAGGTTTTTTGAAAGTCTGCCCCAACTCGGTTTAAAACTTTACAAGATGCTTAGGCTATGTGATGAAGTAGAAGCAGCTGGATTGGGACACAAGGGTACAGGGATGGAAATGGAAGTTGCATTTTGCATCATGTGCACTTCATTTTTTTAGGCTCCTGAGAAGAGTCACTGAAAGGCAAGCGGCTGCCAGGGTCCTTTATCACTACACAAGATCCCCATTTCTTTGTGCCTTCCTCAGACCCTGCTGTCTGCCTTCCCATGCCAGGAGACACCCAGGGTGGGTGGTGGATGATGGCTTGTGAGTGGCATGCCTTAAGGACACCCAAAACTCCTTTTATTTTTTAACACTGACTTTAGAGAAGGCAACACAACAACCCTTCCCTCTTGCTTCAGGTAAGGTCGGAGAAGACAAATGTTTTCCGGATGTCTTCCGGATCAAAATCAGCCTGGTCTGAGGCTGGGCATGAGAGGAGGATGATGGAGATATTTCCTATTTAATAACCTTTAGCAGAGCTCTCGTCACAGGGCAGCTGGCATAATGCTTTGTCTGCACATCTCTCTCTGAATGTCCTGATGCTGTATGGCACAGTGAAATGGGGAGAAAAGCTGCTTTTTGTCACAGAGTTGGACACTGGCATAAAGTTAGTGGGGTATTTCTGAAGGTACATGTCCTACCAGAGCAACACACCCTTCTCAGGCAAACCTGTATCGTGTATTACTCTCTTTACTTTTTAAGTATTCCTCCTTTCCTTAAGAAAGAGAAAAGCTTGCAGTTTTCAAATGGATGCTTCCAGGGAATGACAGGACACGCAAGGAAAGGTTTTAATTTCCTTGCCAGCAGTAGGAAATGATTATTTTCATCCTACGAGTCCAGAAAGTTTGAATATCCTCCCCCTTCTGTAATTCTCCTTGAAGCAATTTTGCTCTCAATTGCGAGGCTCCCCTGGTCAGTCAAGGAAACCCAAGACCTTGATATTAATATTCAAGAAACATGCAGAAAACTTTCACAAAACAAAACAAACTCAGCAACCTTGAAATGTTGCTGGAACATCATCATCCGATGGTGACTTGGATATACCACACAGCTCCAAAGCTGTGCCGAGGCTGTTGGATTGACTTCATAGACAGAAGCAGAGAGCTGTGCGACACTGAAAAATGAGACTGTTGGCTTTTACTTTAATTTTGTCTTGATAACTTCCAGGGAAAGTAAAACCACAAGTCTGGCCCGGATAGCTTGTCCATAGTTGCTGGCCCATAGAGGTTGGAGAGTCAGCCCAGGTTGTTCCTGGCTTAAAGCTAACAGCAGTGATGCTGCTGCAGGAATTTAGCACAGGGTTCCCTGGTCATGCACTGAGCTGGTGTAAAGTGTCCTTCACTTCTGGCTTAGTCAAAAATCCAAACTTCAATCTGCTGTGCAGGAAATGATAAAAAGAAATCTCACTATTTCTGTAGGTTTTGATATAGAAAACAGCCACAGAAAATGTGCTTTTACAGCTTTATGTTTTCTTTGCTGGAAATTGAGTATCTCTTTCCCCTAAAAAATTATCTTTTCAGTTTTCTAAAACTTACAATTTCTCTGTATCACTCATTCCATATGTTGCATGTGTGATCTCATGTACCGACTTGGCAGGACTGGGAGGTTCAGCTCCGGGGTAGTCTGAGGCTCTGGTCACATCTTGCTCTGACAGTGATGTTTTCCCATGTTTCCCATAGGCATTAATTTTAAATGGAAAACAAACAAAGGTCAGGAATAGTTGGGAATCTCTGCAAGCATCTGCCATGCCCAGTGAAGGTCCTGACCATGTTTCTCCTGGGCTCTGTTCTGCATTCAGTCCCTGCCGTGGGCAGACAGTAAAGGCTGGCGTTGGGAACCATGGCTGAATAGTGAAAGGATGGTTACCTGACGGGCTGGAGTCACATCCCATTGACACTTACGTAAGCAGAAAGAGGGCTAATGCACTGGGAATGTAACTATGCACTCATTCTGCATGTAAGCTGTCCTTTCTGCCAGAAAGCTTACCGGAACTCTCTTCACTGGGCCCTTTTTGGCTAAAACTCAGCTGAAGCTTAACCACAAAGATGCTAAACACCCAAGTTGCCAAGGAAGTATTTCATCCCATACATTATATAGGCATTTCTATATGAGCTGATGGCATATGCACGCTCTTGATGCAACCCACGACTTCAGGGGTTTCCTGAATGCCGCAGGAGTTTCTTGTGCTGTCTTTGGCCTCTGCCACTGTAACCCATGATGTGCCTGTGCTATGAATTAATTTCTGCTCTTAGACAGGATTCATGGTGGAGATGGCCATGAGAACAGTCCCTGTGCTGAGACCTATCATTTAATAGCTAAGTTACTTTGTTTTCTACTACAGAGGAGCACCTCTAGAAGGTGATTCAGCCTGCAGAAGTGATTCATTTTCCTCTGGTTTTTTTCATTGACCATAATTGGGAACTTACACATCCATCCCCTAGTGTAGGAGTGGAAATGCTCACAAGTACAGTGTTTGTGTGGTGTGGCACTGGGTGTCATGGACAGGAGAAGGACATGGATGAGAGACTAATGCAACAAACAGTAAGAATAAGTTTAAATAGAGGTCACTGTGGACACAGCAAATTCCTGGCTGATATTGCTGACGCATACTGTGCAGAAATAACAGAGTCATCACATTGCTAGGAAAGCAAAATATGCGTTTTGAGCAATGGATATGGAAATTGCTCAGTAACATTCAGGACCAGAGAGCGCAGCTGAGTATACCCAGGGCCACCTGGGAGGTTTAGCCACGAAGCTCCCACTGGGAATAATTCCTGAATCCCCAGGTTGATCTGAATCTCAGCTGAGTGACTGACTAACTTTTATCTTTTTTGTGAAACCACGATAGTATTTAGAGCTTGGAGAGTTGAAAATGACACTCAGGGGACTAGGAGGATGATCCTTGAGAGAAGCTGGAATAAAGGGAGATAGAGGGAAAAACCCCTCAACCAAACAGGGTAGGTGGTGGCCTGAGCACACCAGCTGAGGCCCCTATCTCATGTGAGCAAAGCTGCTGTATTTCTCTAAAATGGGTGGCACAGACCCTCTGTGCTGTGGCAGCAGCTGAACCACCTTCACTGCCTGTTCATCAAAAAACAGTGCCTGGGAGCTCTGAAATCAGATACACCCAGTTATACTCTGCCTGGGTGAATTAATAGCTGCAGTTACTTGAGTACATACTGGAGAACCAGACTATAATCTAATAAAGTTGCAATGTAATTGCATTCCATGCAGATTAAAGGTCAATCCAATTTCTTCAAATTGGATGTGAGACTTTCTGATGGTCCCTGCACATCAGCTGATGGCCTACTTTTAAGAGTTGATAAAGGTAGGTAGTGGGTTTGCCATAGATGTGTTGGATGCTTCAGGGGTAACTCTAGACCCTTTGAAGTGTTACTGTGCCATCTGGTCTTGGTTGATGCCCGTAGCTCAGGAGATGTGTGGACATGCACATCAGTACATCTGTGTGTTGCTTGGGAAGAGCTATGAGGTGCTTAAAATGACATCAGGTGCACCCTGTGCACAAAGCAGGCTGCCAGGGAGCCTGGCGAGTCGGGATGGGAGGTCCAGCATCCATGAGACCTCTTGGCATGAGAATAGCCTACCTCTGCAAGCATGGGCTTGCTTAGCAAAGGCTGAGCAAAAAGAAATGGAAGCCCAGCAGAAAGCTTCACGCAGTAAGTCAGCGGAGTGCTTACAGAAAGGAAAGGAGTTTGCCTTGGAAGCTCTTGCTGGGGCTTAATGAGAATTTCCTTGTAGCTCTGAAACAGTGGGCAGTGATACAGTGGCTGGTTTAACAGTAGCTCATGGTCTCACCTAATAATAGAAAAAGTTTTGTTTGGAGAAAAATACTGATG